AATTAGTTAATGAGGTATGCACAGTTAAAGGAGAACTGCGGCGCAAAATGAACCTTTGGTCTAATAAAACATTGGTACCTAGTCAACCATTCTCTGAGATTTGTTTTCATGATAATCGAATGTAAAGAGTTTTATCTCTAAAAACTGTTTAGCGTATAACGCTAGTAATGGGGGCATATAATAAGTAAAAAGAAATCGCTAGTTTATACCACTAACAAGGCTCAAAATAGCCCCACACGAACACAGTAACATAATGAGGGTCCCTACATGCAAAACGAAGCATTGAGAACTTTGTAAGTGTACAGACCGTTTAATAAGAAGATAAAGATAAAGACAGTCCACTTCGTGTATACAGACAGGAGCCATCTTTGGAAAACAGTCTCAACTAGTCAAACCACGAACGACGTGCTAAGTGAGCTGAACTGTATGATGTTCAGTAAACTCCTGAACTGTATGAATGGCGTTCGTGGTTTGATTAGTTGAGACTGTTTTCCAAAGATGGCTCCTGTCTGTATACACGAAGTGGACTGTCTTTATCTTCTTATTAAACGGTCTGTACACTTACAAAGTTCTCAATGCTTCGTTTAGCGTGTAGGGACCCTCATTATGTTACTGTGTTCGTGTGGGGCTATTTTGAGCCTTGTTAGTGGTATTAACTAGCGATTTCTTTTTACTTATTATATGCCCCCATTACTAGCGTTATACGCTAAACAGTTTTTAGAGATAAAACTCTTTACATTCGATTATCATGAAAACAAATCTCAGAGAACGGTTGACTAGGTACCAATGTTTTATTAGACCAAAGGTTCATTTTGCGCCGGAGTTCTCCTTTAAGGGAAAAAGCTTGCCTTTATCAGAACAAAGGCTTTGTTGTTGGACGCCGCAATGTCATGTCTAACTTCTCAATGGAAAGAGGCTTTGATCGGGATCATCACACACATCAAATATCCTGCCCCTGCAACTGCACTTGAACCAAACAGAGAGACCAAATGTGATTAAGGGTTTAGGGATTTCTGCCCGGAGATTTGGAGCTCTGCTGGGTTCCAGGCTCCTGGCATTCCATCCTATTCTGCTCCAGACTCCACAGAGAAGCTCTGTGATTCCCAGGGGATTCACACCTCGCCGCTAATCCTTTCCGGTGGCGGTGGCGCTATTAAGACTTATCATAACGAGATTTCAGCCACCAGCCACCTCGCTGTGGAATTTGATTAGAAACACCTGCAGAAGAGAGATGCATATTCTCTCACTGTCAAGATCAAAGACTGAGCAAGAGGCGCGTGTTTTAACCATCAGTTAGTGCAGGACAGAACAGCCTGACATGTGTCAAATGTGTAATACAGGGACTTTCAAACTGGGGGCTGCAAGGGAGTGCTAGGGGGTCTGTGGAAAGGTTTACAACTAATAATAAAAAGTGTATTAGTATATAAATAATGCTCAAATAATACTGTCTGCAAGGTGTCTGGTTAAAAAAATACACAATAGATAATATAATAAAAAATATTTTTACTTTCTAAAGATTGGTCTGAAATCATGATATTAATCAGAATGTTTTAATTCTATTGACAGCCATTTTGATGTTTCTAACAGTTACAGTTCTATGTTTCCACAATAATGTCAACCAAATATTTTTCAGATAATATTCTACACATTGTTTTATCACAGTATACATTTTGTATAGCTGCCTGTGCCTAATATATATTTTAGAAAGGGGTTATGTGGTAAATTATATTTGTCATTGAAATGCATAAAATATCAAACACTCTGTAATCAAATTGTTTCACAAAAAGATGTTTCAAATGATTAAATATTATATAATAGGGCCTTTGTACATTACATTTAAGGGTATTAAGACCTATTCACCTCTAAAACACAGCAAAACAAAACCAAAGTGAATACTTTTGTGATCTCAGACTGCGATGAGGAGGATCAGAGGAGTGAGATCTGGAGGTCAGGTCTCTCCGGCAGGTTTTGAAGAAGTTTGCAGGGTTGTGCGGGGCCGGTCCTAAGGGGATCTTCTCATTATTTTATCACAGTCTGTGGGAGAATGTTCAGGGTTATGATTGGGTTAGTTTGTTTGTATGAGGTGCAGAATGTACTGGGGCTCTGTGAGTGGTTTGGAGGCCATGCAGCTCATTTTAGGGTAACAGTTGGAATCTGGTTGGGAATGATGTAGGTTGGGTTTAACAAAGGGTGAGGACTGGCTTTGAGGAGGGGGTGGAATTAGTTGAAGCGAGTTCAGGAAGAGTGAAGTGATCCATGATGATCTCAGCACGATTAGACATTGTCATTTGTGGTCTTGGACTTTCTCAAGAATCTGATTTGGGGCAAATTGTTTTCCCCTCACATGTGACAGATTTATTTGTGTATGAACAGCTAAAATCACAGACTGAATTCAGATTAAATCTGACATTTTCAAATTTGAAAATGGAAATGGATCTGTATCTGTATCTTGATTTTGATTATTATTATTTTATTTATTTATTTATTTATTTATTGGCAATGTGCCTTCAGTGTGAAGAGTCAGTTTGCAATTGTATGCGTATTTATCTAAGTGACATATAGTTGTGCAGTTTAACTGAGCCTGAATGTCTTTACACACTTCATGATGCACCTTGTCCTATATAAACCCTTTTGTAAGTTTTATTGAATGTTATTATGATTATTTTGTCGTAGTTGATGTTTATTTGCATTTAAGGACGGATTGTTGTGCACTGCAGCAGAGCCACAGAGCAGTCGGCTGGATTGGCATCGGGAACATACTTCATAAGAAGCGCTGAGGCAGAAATACCTGATAGCCACGTTAGTGGAACCATGTGCGTAAGCACTCGCAGAGAACCGCCCTGGAAACTGTTACTCTCAGCGAGTCACGCTATCCCTCTTTCTCCCCTCTCTCAAACTTTCTGTTTCATCTCCTTCACAGCACTGTTTTATCCAAGTATTCTGCTATTAATATCCACATTCTCGACTGCGACAGAAAGATTCCTTTTGCCATGCCAATATGCACCTGGATTTATTTAGAGGATACACACAGGAATAGAGCAGAATCTCCCCTCCGACCCAAACTATAATTGACAATAGGTGTTTAATCATCTAGAGCCATGATTATCCCTAAAGGTTTACTCCAATAAGTTCCATGTTACTGTATGTAACCGAGAATACATTTTTTTACTTTTTAAATTAATTTGAACTATTAGCACATTTTTTCTTCATAACTTGGTATGGAAAATTTGGTATGGTAGCACAACTTGTATTGATGTCTGCCTTGGATTATTTGCATTTGCTTGTATTGTTCCCAATCCCATTAATAAATCACGTTGATTAAGAACATATAAAAAAATTGGGCACACTTGGCTGAATTTACTAAATGTATTATTTACAAGTCTAACATTTATATTATATTTTAATGAAATATAAATATAATTTACTGATTTAGTCAAAGCGTGGTGATTTTTGAAGAAGCTCGAATATAAGATACACTGGGGCTGTCCTTAGGGTTGTGCAACGGAACGAGGGGACCCCCCAAAAGACAAACTCAAATGGACTGACCAAGGGAGGTCCCGATTCTTCTAACTTACACCTGGCCCTGAACAATGCTTGGGACAGCCCTAAGATATCCATACTTCAATTGTGTTGCTACACAGTTTTTGACAGTTTGACATTACTAATGTTCTAAAATGTGAAAACATTTGACTTGTAGTTAATATAAGAGGTTGATAATGAATTGACCATCAGGTATTCACCCAAAAATGAAATCTTCCTCACAGAGCGAAACTTGTCTATGCCCAAAAAGAACATTGTGACGGATGGGACGTTTGGGACAACAGAAACGCTGTCCTCCCGTGCTGAAGTCTGCTACTTTGACTTCATCAGAATTCAAACCTCAGCTAAAATGGCATGTGGGGGGCTGCGTGTGGATGAGTGAGCAGAACTGGGAATGTCTTATGAGAAGTTTGAGTCAGAATGGCGCTGGCTTTCTCATAGCCTGTCTGTCCCTGTGGTAGTAGAGAGGTCATTGGGATGCCAGTGCAGTCAGGGCGGTCTGATCTCTCCTGGCGACTCAGACTGTGTGTTTATCCTGCATGTGGCTCTTTGAAGTGCATTGGTAGTGTTTTCTGAAGTGCACTGGGGGTGTGTGTAATTGATTGGACTGGCAGGCTTTTTACAGATTATTCCACATGGTGAGACTGCTCTTAGCACACAGCAGCAGGCTATATATATATACTCAATGCCCATCTGCAAATTAAACCCTGACACACTGATTCACAGACACATAACCAATAACTGCTAATGCTTGCTTATCTCTATTTAATTGACCACCACTATTGTGCCCATTTGTTTTCCCATTATGACGATTATAATTTTTTTTTTATTACGTATTCATTTTTAAATACCACACATAAAATGAAGATGGATATCTTATCTTAAGATGCAGATCGCTCTATCATAAGATGAGCATGAGCGTTATACATTGTAACCCAACTTATTTTCTATGTGGCGTCAAAAAAAATTGCCAGCATTTTTGATAATTTTTCACAAAAATGTCATGCCCCCCAGAATATTGTGTTGTATGAATATCTGAACATGCAATATATCAAAAGCAGGAACAGATTGTATTCTTGCTTCATTCATTCCTTTTTTATCAACACTTAACAAAAAAAAGCAACATTTTGAACAAAAAGCTGAGAAAATAGGTTTTTTTTGTCAAAGACTACATCCAAAACGGGTTCTGCTAAAATGCATCCTTTATGGGTAAATAAGGTGCAAATGTATACCTTTTGAAAAGGCACTGCCCCAGTGACAGCTTTTATACCTTTTTTTCTGAAAGTGCAAGGAGAAATTTCACCACTTTTATTTGTGTGGCGACGTCTAAAAATGTGTGATTATTTTATGTGTTAAAAAACAGAAAACTGTTGTCATAAACTCTATTTTACAGGTTACATGACAATCAGCCCATTTATGCGATAGTATTTTTCCTCATCTTCCTGCTTTTCTCTCTACAGAGTGTGTATCCTGGGCGTGTGTTCGCCATGGCTCTAGTTCAGGCGCTGCCTGTGCCCACTGATCACCCAAAGCCCAGCGCTGACATCCAGCAGTGCTGCTCAGTGTCTCACTCCCCCTCCATAGCTGTGGCAGGCACCATGGGTTCTGTCAGCAGCCTGATCTCTGGACGTACCTACCAGGAGCGCCACTGCCGAGCCGCCAGCGACTTTGGTGCCAAGTATCGCAAACCCACACCCGCTATAAGCTGTTTCCGACAGCAAGAGGGCACACTGCGCAGCGCCAGCTCACAGGAGCAGCTTCTCACCAGCCAACCTCCTCTACCTGCTAAGAACAAATCCTCTACCCTCATCTCTGCTGGCAATGGCAACTATGGCTATTTGTGTGACGAGCCAGTGGGCGACTGGAATGATAACCATGTGACCACGTGCAGCCCATCCAGTGATACTGAAGAGCCTCCTGATAACAGAGGCATGAATGGTAATATTGGTGGTCCTCCGCCTAAACTCGTCCCAGTGTCAGGCAGACTGGAAAAGGTGAGTCTGGTGGTGCGTGGTAGGTAAACATTAAAAAAAATACAACAAACATTTTAAAATTAGACATGACATATTTTTATATTTATAATAAATGTAAACTTGTGCCATTAGAGTATTACACTTATGGAAGAAGTCTATGGCTAAGGCTTTGCTCCAAAATAAACATAAAACACTTTGTTTTAAACATATATGTTCCCATATAGTGTGACATAATCACTTACTACCGCTTATCAAGTTGTTCATCTGTAAAAGCAGTAACTTTCACGACACACATTCAAGGGTACTATAAAAGGGACTACTCCCATAGAGAAATAGTCTCAACTCACAGAAATGACATCTGTTCTGCATAACCATCTGCCTAACAAAGGATGACTTGAAAAATAATGAACACAAGTCCTTAAAGGGGTCATATGATGCTTTTTTAATGTTTTACTTTTCCCTTAGTGTGCAATGTATCTGTTTGTGCATGTATACGATCTGCGAAGGTACAAAGATCATAGTTGCCCAAAAAGGGATTTATTCTATCTAACAGAGAACACTGTTTAAAATACCTTGACCGAAGTCCAGATATTACTTCCTCAAACATCTTCGTCACAATGTGAAATATTAGCATAATGCCGATACAAAGGCATATGCAAAGAGAGAAGACGAGGCTTCTGTGAATTGTAGTGCTGTTGCCTTTTCGTGGCGTCAATTGGCGTCATTTTTACAGAGGACAGCTTCCTGAACCTGGGAGAGTACAATGCACATCAGCTATATACAAAGACTACCTACCAATGAGAAACATTCTGCTAAAGTCATGCTTGCAAAGTTGGTTCCAATCTATCGGCTTAATTATCCACATTTTTCAGAATCCGACTCGGGCTCGAACTGAAAAAAACAGTAAAACCTTCGACATTATTAACTGTTTACAATTGCTTAAAGCCTTGGAAGCTTAAGCTCGCAATAATGGTAAGGGGCGTTACTTTTCTGACACACGCTGGGTACCATATAGATGTCCATTGAAAGTGCATTAATGTTAATTCAACAGTCTTTGAACCATTTCTTTAAATAACTCCTTCAAAATGCTGTCCATCATATCATTGTCGAGGTCTCATTCATTTGTTTTAGAAGAGATGAAAGAAGGTTTTGCTGATGCTCATTTCACACAGTGGGTAGTACATCTAATTGGCTATTAATTTTTATTGATCGAGGAGAGCCTTTAATCACTGCAATACATCAATATGCCATCACTCACTGTGATGAGTCACTGTCATCATACACATTTAACATCTCATTTACACTCAGTTATGTTGGTGGCTTCACTCTTTAGCTATTTATTGTGCAGATGGCGTTCAAAAGTTTGGGGTCAGTAGGTTCATTCATTCATGGGGTCATAAACCAAAGACACATTAAATTGATCAAAAGTGACAGTAAAGGCATTTCTAATGTTACAAAACAATTCTGTTCTTTTGAACTTTCTATTCATCAAAGAATTTTTAAAATAATTTATCACTGTTTCCTCAAAAATATTAAGCAGCACAATTTTTTTCAACATTGATAATAATAATGTTTCTTGAGAACCAAATCTGCATATTAGAATCATTTCTGAAAGATCATGTGACACTTAAGAAGAGAGTAATAGCTGCTGAAAATTCAGCATTGCTATCACAGGAATAAAATACATTTTTTATATATGTATAAGAAAACACTGTTTTACATGAACCATTTACTTTTGATTACAGAGTATGGAGAAGATACTGATCCGTCCCACTGCCTTTAAGCCTGTCGTGCCCAAAAATCGCAACTCTGTGCAGTACCTGTCTCCACGGTCAGGGGGCAGTCTGTCTGAAAGCCAGGGCAGCCTCAACCTCTTACTTCCTGGCAATGGAGCGGGGTTGGGTTGTCAGGAAAAGCGCAACTCTTACAGTGGGGGACGCAACGCACGGAGTAGCCAGTCCGTCACTATGTCCGACTCAGGCCGCAACTCCCTTTCTAGCCTACCCACTTACAGCAGCACAGGGTACAGCCTGGCACAGAGTGAAGTACCCACTGGGCACATGGAAACCGCACGCTCCGGTGGTGGCCACGGACACTCTAACTCCGACAGCGGTCGCTCATCATCCAGTAAGAGTACAGGGTCTTTAAGTGGGCGTGGCCAGCCCCTCTCAGACAGCGGATCATGTGGCCGCTCCCCGGCTCCAGGAGAAGGTTATGAAGGCGTCATTCGGGATCTTGAGGAGAAGCTGAGGGAAAGAGACCTGGAGCTGCAGCAACTTAGGGACAACCTGGATGAGAATGAGGCAGCCATCTGTCAGGTGACAATCACTGTTTTCTACCAATTATTAGTGTCATTTGACAGGGAATTGTCAGATAGAGTGTATACAACCTAAGTCAAATCACGTGTCTTCTCCATGCAGGTGTATGAGGAGAAACAGAAGCGCTGCGAGCAAGAGTTGGAGGACCTTCGGCAGAGCTGTGCATCGAAGATGAAGCAGGTGCAGCTGAAGGCACAACGGGCGCAACAGGTTCTGCAGTTGCAGGTGTTTCAGCTGCAACAGGAGAAGAAGAAATTACAGGAGGACTTCTCTCAACTGCTACAAGAACGGGAGGCATTGGAGAAGAGATGTGCCTCTTTTGAGAGGGAGCAGACTCAACTAGGTCCTCGTCTAGAAGAGACAAAGTGGGAGGTGAGACCTTTTTAGCCATGTGGATCTATCAATGAGTAATTACTACATTCAATGAAATTGAATGTTTCTGTCTCACAGGTGTGCCAGAAGTCAGGTGAGATTTCTCTGCTGAAGCAGCAGCTGAAGGACTTACAGGCAGATCTTGGTCAGAAGGCCAGCGAGATTGTTGCTTTGAAGGCCCAGTTGAGAGAGGCTCGTTCTGAGCTTCAAGCTAGCCAGACTCGCTCACAGGAAGCCCACGCCACAGCCCGCACTCGCACACTCGAACTCGAGGTTTGCGAGAATGAGCTACAGCGCCGTAAGAGCGAAGCGGAGCTCTTGCGGGAGAAGATGGGCCGTTTGGAGGAAGAGTCCATCCGTCTTAAAGAGGCTTTGGCGGCGCCCACGTCCCAAGCTCTACCTTCTAAAGGCCAATGCATGAGCTTGCCCCTGCCCCAAAGCCGTGGGGTGATCACTCACGGGATCAGCCCCGCTTTCCGGGACAACAACAGCGAAGAGCAGCTTCTAGCATATGAGAGTGATGAAGCGAAGGTGCAGCGCCAGAGCATGGACATGCTTCACGGTCTCCGTCAGCAGGTGGACCGACTGCGGGCAGAGCTGATGTACGAGAGGAGGCGGAGCGAGGACCAGCTGGAGGGCTTCGACGAGGAACGCAGGGTGTGGCAAGAGGAGAAAGACAAGGTGATCCGTTACCAGAAGCAGCTGCAGCAGAACTACATCCAGATGTACCGCAGAAACCGTGACCTGGAGCGTGTGATGAGGGAACTTAGTCTGGAGCTGGAGAACAGGGACATGGAGGAGTTTGACATGCGTAGCAACGAGATCCATTTTGAGGAGATCACTGCCACTGAAATCTAACCCACATCTTACTCTACCCCCCAAAAATACATCTCCACTGTGCTTGTGTGAGGAGCACCAGTCCATCTGCCGTGTCATTTGGCATGCTTCTCTACACTATTTCAAAAAGACTTGTGTTCAAGGCAAGTAATTGTTGTGATGTCAACAGAGGCCAATAAAACAGGGAATGTTTGTATTTAGACATCTTTATTATCACTTCCTGCCTCAGAAACCTGTGAGGGACTACAGATGAATGTAAAATGACTGTGAACAGCAGTTAAATGATGCCATTGATGAAGGGAAGGATGTCCTAAAAAATGGTGCTTTGTTGCTGACAAAACCCCTATAGTACAACTAGGGCTGTAATTAAGTTCAATGAATAAAAATAAAAAATCACATAGGAAGTTCACAAAAGACGTGTTGTTTTGTTGAAAAACATAACTACACATTTGAACAGAATACAGAGCTCTCAATGTTTTTTTACCCCCCAAAGTTTATTTTACTACTTTGAACTACAAGATATTGAAATGAGCAGCAAGATGAGACATGACGGCCAAAGATGTTTGTAGTGTAGAGAGAACACTAGAATGCGTCCTTTGTGAACTACCTTGGACAGATTGACAAACCCAATTGCTAAACGGGTCGCTGTGGACTGTAGACCAAGGATTGGCCAATCATATGAAGAAAAAAAATCAAACATATATGAAAGTGTCGATTCAATACTTTACTCGCCTGCTACAATAATGTAACATTTCATTTGGAAATTTTTCTTAGCAAATATTGATGTATGAAGTTATTTGCGATTGATTGATTGGCACTTGGCAGCCTTAATTACAATCTTTTCATTAGTTCAACTGAATACCTTACACACAATCAGAAAAGACTGTCTCAGCAAAGAAATATACTGAAATGGCTATGAGATTGAAGAACTGATAGGAAGAAACACAGCATGTAGGGTAAGGGTTTCATGGAGTTTATCATATCCTATAATGGAAAGAGCACAATACTCGCCTCGCCCATTGTACCAGCATCAACACTGATGGGAAGAGATTTGGGATACGTTCAGACTGCAGGTAAATGTGGCCCCAAATTTTTTTGCTCACATGTGACTCTCATCTGTTTGTGTCATGACAACAGACAGTGTGAATAGAACAAACCACATGGAATCTGATCTTTTCAATTCCGATTTGTGCCACTTCCATATGTGGTCCTCCTAAATCCGATACAGGTCAGATGTTTTACAACACGACCACAGTCTGAACAGTCATATCGGAATTAATGCGACTTTTACGTCACTCTAGATCGACATTCGTCACAATTCTGCGCTCATGGGAGTCACATACTCAAAGTTATCAAGACCGTTGCGAAAGGTAGTCAGTGAAGAATAGTGATGTGTCAGAGCTCATAAGTATTATGTGACAGCTCTATATACAAGCAAAACATCTCTTTTTTTCCACATCCTACGTCTTTGTTTTTAATATTGCCTGCACATAAATCCACTGGCTGGCTTCCGCAGCAGATCACACTATTAATAAACGGATAATCACTAACTTTAATGTTCTCCGTGTTTACTTCCGTATGACAGCATGCTGCGTGACAATCTTTTTATCATTCTTTTGCGCGTGCGGTTCAGTTCAGGATCACGATCTGTTCACACTGGAATCTGATATTGGACTCATTTAAAACAACAATGTGAACAGCTATCCAAAATCGGATCTGAGCAATAAATCGGAATTGAGCACTAAGACTTGCAGTGTGAACGTAGCCTTGAAGGCACTCTATTGAGCATATCATGTTAGGCCACTGAAGCTGCAGTTTTGTTGCATTCATTCTTGGTGTTCTAGCTGTGCTGGTGTTGAGTCCTCAGTAACTTTGTGTCATTTCTTAGCCATTTACGGCACTATGCAGCAAGAACTGTCACCTCTCATCTCACAGCCCCGCTGCTTACACTACATTTGATACTAATTACTGATGTAGAAGTGTTATTTTTATAATTAGATGATATATTAGCAGACATAACTAGCAAATATAGAGGCAAATATATGTTTTTTTTTTTTTTTTTTTTTTTTTGAGTATTGCCTTGCACACTGTACAGAGTGAATAGCATGTGTGCATGACACCGTAGCATTTCTGTGGCCAGACAGTCTGGCGTCGAGTCACGTTATGGCTTCACACAGGTCAGTGGGTTGGTTTTTCCAACCAATTCTGCGAAGTAATGACATAGTTGATGAATGCATAGATAGATATAATAGATTTACATACAATCTGAGAAATACTAATCAAATGTTTGTGGTCATTTTGTTAAAGGGATATATACAATATAAACTTTGTTGTTTTTACAGAACAGATCCTTTAAAACATAATAGATATGAAAAATTAAATATATATGTGATGTATATTTTTATATATAGCACATCAAGCTATTTTGTGGTAACACAGGTAACTTTGTGGGTTTAATAAATTTGAATTCCATATTTCACACACTGTTGTCCAGAGGGATCATTTGCCATCAGCTCTGATAGTATTTCATACAGTAGTTGATGCTTTTATATTCTCATGGAGTCTACCGCACATGTATTTATCATGTCCTTCTCTGTTAATAATATACAGCATTATCACATAAGGATTTTTGTGCATGTTGTAGAAGATTGGCAAGAACATTGCCTGACAACAATGTTTGGGACACTAACTTTTTTTACATCAGGGAAGACCGATAAAAAAAATTAAATGAGGAACTCTGACTGCAAAATCGCATTTTAGCCATCTCAACCAAAGATAATCTGTTACATATTTTCCAGATTCTTTTAAACAGCATATAGTTAATGCATTTACACTTTACTCAGTGCTTCCTTTTTTATATAAAACAATGTGATATACTCTTCATGATTCTACAGTAAAACAGACACTTTATTTATGTGATAATCATTTTTGTATTTTTTTCATTCAAGGCCAAATTATTAATTTCAGTATTGGTCAGAAATGATTACTGTTTGTGATTAGTCTGGTCTTGTATCACTTCTGGTCATTTTTGACTACCTGAGAATCAAAAATATGAATTTGGCAATTTTTCTCACCTTGCTCAGATTATCATCCCTCTTGTTGTCATCATCTCTGTAGCACAGATATGTTATATGAGTGTAAGAAAACTCGTTTCACCCCTGGACATTGTCCTGTGCATCCCTCCCTGACATGTCAATCACAGCCCTGATGAAAACATGTAAATATTCCTCATATTGTAATATTATTTACATATTCAATAATTTTGTTTTTACACACGCAAAATATCTATTTTGAAGTTGTAACCACTGTGAATAGACCAAAGCAAATTAACGTTTAATCTTTTTTCCCTAGTGGATGTGCTTGTGTGTTTCCTTTGTCAATCTGTAGTATTTTTAGTCATGTATGTATATTTTCATGTTGTATATTTCTTGTAAAAATGTGTTTTTAATTAAAGTCACCTCATGCCTAAGTATGGTGTTTTTTCAAATTTACCTACAGGTTTTACCTACAAGTCGTCAATGTTATAAAAAAAAGAAAAAAAAAAGAAGATTTTTCTTAAAACATTTTCACCACGGCTTTCTTTAAACATTATTTTAATATCCTGATTATAAAAGATTTCAGAAATGTATTATGAAGCCTATAATAACCATAATAACACAATAATAGAACTCAACATTTTAAATAATGAGCAAGTAGCCAACATCATAAATCCATCTTCTAAATCGTGTTTGTGCTTTACCCTTAATTAATATGGCAAGGCCATAATAATTTGAATGAATGAATGAATGAATGAGGCAATTATATAGCGCTTTCATATGTACTGTACACCCAAAGCGCTTTACAATCATATCAGGGGGTCTCAACCAGCACCAGTGTGCAGCATCCACTTGGATGATGCGACGGCAGCCACAGTACAACGGGGCCAGTGCGCTCACCACACACCAGCTATAGTTGGAGAGGAGAGAGAGTGATAGAGCCAATTCAGTGGATGGGGATTATTAGGAGGCCATGATTGGCAGGGGCCAATGGGTGGAATGTGGCCAGGACACCGGGGTAATACCCCTACTCTTTACGAGAAGTGCCATGGGATTTTTAATGACCACAGAGAGTCAGGGCCTCGGTTTAACGTCTCATCCGAAGGACGGTGCTCTTTGACAGTATAGTGTCCCCGTCACTATACTGGGGCGTTAGGACCCACACAGACCACAGGGTGAGCGCCCCCTGCTGGCCTCACTAACACCTCTGGCTCTTCCAATTTCTTTTTAAGAGTAGTCGGGGCGGATTTCGCGGGAAACTGCATGCTTCTGTCATTCTGTGCGTGTTTGCATCATATCAATAAATAAAGGAAAGCAGGACATGATAGGCTTGTTCGACTTGAACCGGCGCTGAACAGACCGATCGGTGAATGACATCAAAATACCGCGAGAGTATGCATTTCAATCGCTCTCGCGGTACTTTGATGTCATAAACTGATCGGTCTGTGCTGCGCAGCGCCGGTTCAAGTCGAACACGCTTAATGACTATTACGTGCAGTGGAAGGTCTCGTAGTAGTTTAAAGCCACAACAAATAATCTTAAACCGAAAAGAGATTGCAACCAAAAAGGAAATTGTGACAGTGCTCATAAATAATAAAACACAAATCCACACCGGTTTGGCTTTTCAGAAATAGCCTACATTTTACTTTAGTTTGCATAGCATCACATTTGCTGGGTATTGACTGGGTTCACGAAACATTAAAGGGTTTGGTCGCCCAAAAAATTACCACTTTGACGCTTCAAGTTCATAAAGAGATCGTAAAACTAATCGGAGCGGTTTAGTCCAAATTTTTTTTAACAGACACGATCGCTTTATATGATGAAAAGATTAATCAAACAACGCGAGGGTGAGTGATTAATGAAAGAATTTAAGAATGCTACTTTTGGTCTATTTGCCTTTAAATAGCTTAATAGCCTATTAGCGAAGTTATAATAGTTCCACTGTCTTACCTTGTCTGATATGGATACAAAAAAATCGTTAATTCTAATGGTCAGCATTGCGTTTGTAATGTT